ACCTACTGTATAAAGAAGGGGGAATTATTTCATCTTTGTAAACTTTGGACATACTAGAAGCTATGCATCAAGTTAAAAAATAACAATATTAACTATGTCTAAAACAATTAAAGTTCATTGACTGTTACAATTGAAATGTCAAGGTCCTACTTTTATTACCTAAGCAGTACCTGTAATGTCCCTTCCTGCAAGAATGGTCCAGACAAAAGATGAAAAAGATCTGATAAAGACAGAGAAAGGAAAGGAAAGAAAAGCTTTTCTCCTTACAAAATGAATATATACAAAAAAATGGAAGACAAAGTTAATATTTCATTTTCCCTCCTGGTTGATGAAATAGCTTCTTTCAAACACCCTAATATAATAATAAAGTTTGATATTTCCAGCAGCTCGCAGCATTGAATCTGAACTTCATGGAGAATGGAGACCCTGAATAAAAGGTTCTAAAAATTGTTCTGTAACACCAAAGGGAGAAGGTTATAAATAGTACAGAATACCTCTTTATATTGCAAAGAATAACCAACACTAATGGATAGTCCCAGTTTCTCTAATTTTTTCACATTGGCTATTTCCCCTAAATAATCTCCATGTAAAAAAAGAAAGAAGTATTTTGGCATGCAAACATAAAGATGGGCATCTGCTCTCAGCTGACAGACTTTGTCCCGGAGTCTTGAGCAGTTCATGGTCAGACAACTCCATTTTTGGATTAGAATGCTGAACGGTCTAAGCCAGGGGTCTCCAGCTGGTAGCCCACAGGCCACATGCTGCTCCTGAGGACTTAAACTGTTTTTTGCTGGTGCTGCCAGGGTCCACAGGATTCCTCGCCTTCCTCCAGCTTCCACTACCTGTCCCTACCCCTGAGGCCAGGGTTACTGTGGGGCTGAGAGAGTCCATGGCCAGAGGGCTAGGAAGAATCCAGGGTCCCATGTGCATCCATTCTGAAGTGGTACACCAGGAGTCACCTCCCACAGTAGGGCAGCAAAGATAGCTGCTGGTGAGGGGAAGGGGCCATACAGCCTAGGATATATAGACAGCTATTTTTAACATCGGGAAGAACTAAGGTTTATTAATCTGATGTGTGTAGAGTTGGATCACATCCAATTTCCTTGAGTCCTGAGACTCCAGATGGGCTTCCATTTCATGAGACAGAGACTGACATCCATGGTTAGGATTCATCAATCTGTTCTTTGGTAAAGTAGAACCTCCATTACATTTGTTACCTGGAGCAGATTGGCTCTGTGGACTGGTAATGGGAGAAAGATGCTGGTCTAAATTCAGATCAGATTAGTAGTAACTCATCTTAAAATAGGCCAAGGACTGAACCAATGCAGTGTGGAGACTGAAGAGATGATGATGATGCTCAGTATGTATACATTTTATATCAGCAAATTTTATACAACTATAAATTAATCAATCCACCCTTTCATGTTAGGTCAAGACAGAGGGATCTCTGTAAAATTGTAGTACAGAAACACTGGGCACATTTTAGCTCTAGAGATGTTACTAGTTAAAATATATGGAATATAGCAGGGAACAGAATTAAATTAGGTGTACCTAATTAAGATAGAGGACCTTAGGCTCCACAGCTGACAGTCCAATACCCGAACCCCAGAAGAACACATTTCCCTTCCAATGTAAAATTGAATTGCTTAATTCACTTGTCACTGACATCTTTAATATCAAGGAAGCAAATTAAAATTCTTTGCAGTTCTTGACCATCAGGGTCCTCCTTACAAAACACATGGCAGCAACAACCTGACAATGAATCTTACCCACAGAATTGCATCGATATATCTGTATGCTTACATATATACAATTAGTATATATGTAAGCATACAGATAAAGGTCCTTTGGATGTGGCGTTGCTAAGAGTAAGGAATTTCTAGATAGTTGATAAGATTTTTTTGGATCCTTTCCCAAATATGTTTGGAATAATTCCATAAGATTATTTAAACAGTCAAGACGATTAAAAGGATTTTTTAACTAAACTCTGCAGAATGTGAAACATCTGTATAGAACTCAAGTACAGAAGGCCTGCAAGTTGGTCAGAAGAACACAGTTTCTGCAAAATTGACATTTTCCACTGCAAAAATTCTCAGAGGGTGCATCTACACATGCACTAATGTGCCTTTTCTAATATGCATTAAATTTAGTACCTCCAATGCGAGGTACTAAATTAATGTGCATTAGCTTCAGCTTCAGCTAATGCACAGTAGTGCATTTGCAAACTTTTTTGGGATTGCTTAATGCACAGTACACTATTTTACTGAGCATTATCATAATGTCACAGTTTTTTAAATGACACAGTGCACAGTAAAATGGTCTACTGTGCATTAAAGTGCACACATAGATGTGCCCAGTTTTACTGAAAATTTTCAATTTTCCATCAATTCAGTCTTAAGTATTATATTTTGCTGAAGTGATCAAACACATTTTAGTCCAATTCAATTCAATAAAACACTAACCTGGCTTTCCTTATTAATGCATTGCCACCTGGGATTTGTCTTGTGGACCCTACTCTCTCTATACACTGACCTTCTGGAAGGTCTCTGTCTCCCAAAGTGCAATGCCAATTCCTCTCTACCCAAGCTCTGCTAGGTAGATAATGAAATTATGATGGCAGAGTGCATAACAGGAAAGGCAATCTGGCTCACAGAAGAATGGCTTCCATAAGATAAAGTAGTAAAAAAGAGCAGTTTCTTGTTAAAAAGGTTTAAGATGAAGCATTTGTATCATTTAATAAAAAACATAATGAAACATTTTGATGCTGAGAATGCCGGAATGCACGGTGATTAAAAATCTCTCAAAATACAATATTTTAGCATTTTCAAATCAACATTTTGGAGGGATTTATGTTCCATGACAAAATTTCACATTTCAACATTTTGCCCAAATTTGGCACAAGCAAACATTGATTTTAACATTTTTTAAATGTCATACAGTTCTAATTCCAGACTCATTAATTCTTTTGTGAATTTAATATGATTTATTTCCTAATATGGGAGGTTTTAAAATAATGATTCTGCAAAATCCATGGAACATGCTTCAAAGACCTCTCAAAGAATTCATCAAAAAAATTAAATATACATCCTGTGTCAAATAGTTGTTTGTGAGAAGTTCTCCTACACACTATTAGCTGAAAAAATTCTTGAGCTGTATCTTGAAAGATGACGTTCACAAAGCTGACAGAGGCTCAAGCTTATCATAAAACCAAGCTTGTAGGCACCTACCACTTTCAAGAGCTAGATAAATTAATCAAAATAATTCAGCCTGCCATTCTAGTTAAGCCTTGCATGTGTGCTCATGGGGATATTCAAGAAGTAATCATTTAAGAGTTTTTAAAGGCATCCATTAGCTATTTTATCCAAAGCAGATTAAACTATTTTATCCAAAGCATTGCTCTGAACTGGAAGGAACAAGTTCTCTGTTGACTAATGTAGACTCCACTCAGGATATAGCATTCTACGATCTTTGAGAGAAAGATGGCAATAGATACAAGAAATTTACCTCATGTTGAAGGTTTTATTTTATCAACATTTGGAGCATCCTGATATAATGCAAAGTTTCCTCAACCAAGTAAACAGGAAATAGAGTGGTCCTGTTCTCAGAGCAGCAAGTCCTGCATTGAAATGCCTGGCACCTGCAAACACTGAGCACACACAGCACATTAAGGCCTCTATGAAGTAATATATGCTGAAACATCTACATTCACTGGGAAGTTCAGACATGAATACCACCTGCATGGTAAATAAAGCCTTGGAATAAGACACTGGGGAAAAAAGGAGGTGTTAAAAATCCCAATCGTTGCTGTTTGCCTGTAAATGGAAGAAATTAGATTTAAGTTCTCTAAGAGCAAGGAGATAGGATTATGCTTTTGTCACATAAGAATTAACAGATGGTATAAAAAGGAGAAGCTTTAAATATTCAAGACTAGGTATGTGGGAAACGTGTGCAAAAAGAGAATTTTGCAATTTAGTCCTTGCCATTGATCTTTATAAAGCAGTGGCAACGTGTAGGGGTGCACATGCACCCTGAGAGCGCTGGTCCACCCCCTGACAGTCAGTGTTCCTGGGCAGGGGAGGCAGGTAAGAGCACTGGTGGCCCCCCCTAAAAGCACCGGCCAGGGGGTGCCCGAAGAAGTGGTCCCCCCGCGGCCGATCGTGCTCTCCTGGACATGCCAGCGGCATGCCGCTGCTACTTGTGCGTCGGCGGGATCAGCTGTGAGGGGACCCTCCCCCCCGATCGCTGACTGTCCACTGGGGGAACAAGTCCCCCCGCCCCCAACTCAGGAGGCACAAGTCACCCATGTTATAATGCCTTATGGAAACTGCCTCAAATACCTCAAAGCCTTGCATTGCAGGTGATGGATTGCATCTTTAAGCATAAATAATCTGAATCAGGAAGAACTGCATCTTTCATCATTTTATACAAATGAAATAAAACATTAGTAATTACACTTCAGATATAATTACAATTTTCAGATCGTTCATTTCCTTACAACAGGTCTCGTTAAGAAAAATAGCTGAGAAGGCAAGAGTCCAACTTAATTCATTCTGTACCATGCCTGCAAAATTATAAATTTTAGCTATAGGAACTTAATAGCATGTCTTGCTTTAGCTTTAATAGAAATTGGGCAGCTCACTCCCTACAGGGGTCATACAAAATGTGCCCCTATATGTTTGCTTATACTTGCATTGTTGTGGTTCATTTACCACTGCTGCACAAAGAACTACAAAAAGGCTCACAAATACAAAAACAGGTAGTGACAAACAATCATTCGGCTCAGCACTAACATGAAGGAATGCTGCATCAAGGAAATTACAAATTACACCCAGCTTATTAGAGTGCTATCCTACTGCTTAGTAGCCAGAGGCAGATATACCAAGACATGCAATTCTTGTTGATGATGCCAAACTTGCCCAGTACCAGTCACAGAATCACAAGGAAAATACCAAATGCTTAGAGTTGTAAATCAATAAAAAGAAACATTCAGCATTGCTTACCTGATTTTCTTCATGGGAAACCCTCATCTGCTCTTTAAGAACTGACATTCTCGCTGCTTCTTCTTTCCTCAAAACTCTTTCCTTTTTTAGCTCAGGACTCCAGAAAGTTTTGATGCTGTTCATGGAAGATCCCAGCTTGCTATCCTTGATGTCCAGTTCTTTTCTGAGAAGATCATTCTCCCTTTGTAGTTCCTTAAGTTGAGCCTGTAGATCTAGCATTGTACTGTCCCTAACCTGTCTCAGCATAGAAGGAACCTGATGATGATGATGATGTGAAGATGTAGTCAGACCTCCATGCTGATCAGTATAAGAAAGTACATCTGTATGGGAAAGACCAGCTGAAGCAATATTAGGACTGCTCCCCATAGCTGTGACACGACCACCATACATAGCTCGATTGGTAGCCCTTCCAAGAGTCATTGTGCCCTTTGGGAAAGTAGTAGAAGCTACACCTTCATGATCACTCAGATACATCGGTCCAGATGTTGCATAGGCTGCATTAAGGGACTGGATGTTCTCCATCGACAGTGTCTTACCTGTTCCTCCTCCTCCCCCACTGTTTGTCCGTCTATGGCCCAAACGAGGAGATCTTGGCAGACGAGGAGACCTGGAGGGACTGCCTTCCAAGTTACTGATTGTTCTTGCACTTCCATACATTTTTCTTCTACTTTGAGGTATTATTTAATAAGAAATTAGTAATGCTAAGATTGGATACTGAATCTAAAATACCAGCTAATAATGTTGGCAAATGGATTCACTGCATTCTTCCACAAAGCAAAAATTGATGATTCTTCCAAATCAAAGATCTGGGGGGAAAAAAAAGAGAAGTAATTTTTTTTTCTACATCAAAAAGTATCTTTACAGTAAATGATTGAAATGAATCAGGAAACACGGCATATGGCAACTGATTTAAAAATACTGCCTTTAAAATTAGATTAATAGTAGGCACATCTACATGAGACACTTACTGTGCAGTTGCCTAATAACACTGCGCAGTAGCATGCTGGTCAAAAACCATGCTAATATGTTACAGTATATACACATGGCACAGTGTCACTAGGCAGTAAGTATGACAAGAAAACCATGCGCCAGCATTACTGCACGGTACCTGTAGTTACTGCACATTTAGTTAGTACTTCATTAAGCAAGTACTGAACTAAATGCGCAGTAATTACTATGCATTAATGAACATGTAGATGCACCCACTGTTTTTTCACACTTGGGGTTACTGTCTCAAAATTTCCAGTTTAAAAGCATTTCAAGCAGAGCAACCAATACTCATTTCTTTCTTCTTGTAAACTTTCTTGATGTTTTCACTTGATCTAAAGAAGATTAAAACTTTAACAAATACTATGGGTCACATGTTCCTGATATATTGTCATCAATATTACTGTACTCAAATGAATGACTCCATTGGAATTACACCAGGAATGATATTACTTGGTGTCTACACATGAACAAAAATCAAAGATCAAGAATATATTTAAAAAAAACACACAGCCAATATAAAAAAAGAAAGTTAGCATATCTGGCTTTCTTTAAAGCAGTATCAACTGTATAATTAACACAAATGATAGGGACAGGCTAAAGGCTTCTTTGAATGGAAGGGCTAATAGATATTGAATCTGTTAACAGATATCGATTCTGCTCTGTTTCAAGATTTAAAATAAGACCGAATTAATTTCAGAGAATATTGTCTTCTGGACAATTACATATTATTATTACAAATAATACTTCCAACGTACACCACAGGTTTGCTGGTATGTGTTGTTTGCCTGTATCAGGAAACAAAGTATATTACAAATATTCAATTATTTCATCAAGAAAAAGAGAACTTCTCAAATACTCTTTTCCACTTTTGGTGTCACAATGGTATTTCGAAGGCAGGCTTACCCTCATAATTTATTTAAATAAACAGGACAATTGAAGTTATTCAGAATTGATAACCAGCAATAATGCATAATAATACTGAAAAATTGTGATAGTAATATTGAGCATCTCTTCAATAGTAGCTTGATGTTCTCCAGGGGTTTGTCCTGTGCTGGTACTATTTAATATCTTTATTAATGATTTTGGAGGATGGGACAGAGTACACAGTTAGCAAATTTCCAAATAAAACCAAGCTAGGTGGCGTTACAGACATTTTGGAGGGTAGAAGTAGGATTCAAAATGATTGTGATAAGCAGGAAAAGTGATCAGAAATGAATCAAATGCAATTAAATCAGTAGAAGTGTAAAGTCCTGTGCTTAGGATAGAACAATTACATGTACAAATGTAATACAAGGGAAAAACTGGCTGGGCTTCAGTACTTTAGAAAAGGACCTAAGGGGTACAGTCAACCATAAGCTGAATATAAGTCAACAGCATACTCTTGTTGCAAAACAAAACAAACAAACAAGCAAAAAGCCAATAGCATAGTGGGCTGTATTCATAGGAGTGTTACTTGTAAGTAAAGGGAAATGATTTTTTCACTCTACTCAATATCAGTGGGGCTTCACCTTGAGTACTATGTCCAATTTTGGGGCACCACAATTTCAGATATAGGCAAATTAGAAGGAGTCTACTAAGCAGCAACAAACATGATTAGGGGCCTAAGAAACATGACTTACAAAAGAAGGTAGGTAGAACCAGCATTATCTAGTCTGAAAAAAAGAGAAGATTGAGAGGGGATTTAATAATAATCTTCAAGTAACTGAACAGCAGTTGTTAAAATGATAGAGAAAGGCTATTCCCTGTAGCAGCAAGGAACAGGACGAACTGCAACAGTGGAAATTTAGGTTAGATATTGGGAAGAACGTTCACACAATGAGGGTGGTTAGGCATTGGAACAAGCTAACTAGAGAGGCTGTAGAATCTCCATCCTTGGAAGTTTTTAAAAGGTTAGACAAACATTTGTTTGGAATGGTTTAGAGCAGAATGATCCTGCCTTGAGTAGGTGTTTGGACTTGACATTGTGCTGGGGCTATCCACCTTATTTTTATATGATTCCATTATTTTTACATTTATCACCTATAAAAGACTCTAAGATAAGGGCTACCGATTTTTTTAAACAAATATAATTCTTACAAGAAATCAATGACATTGATATAGTGGCAGTAACTAAAAAAGACCTAAAAACATGTATTTAAAATTAGCTCAGAACAGCAGCAGAGAATCTAATTCATTAAAGTCCGGTAACTTGAATCATTTCTCCAAGATGTTACCATCATTACATACAGATACCCTATCCTGGTATTAACTGTTCATTCTAGATTTGTAAAGGAGTTCTGATGAGTTCAGCATAATGAACTATTTCAATCTTAAAAACAGCTAGCATCTTAAACCATTACCCCTATGTTTTAACCATTTTTGCATATACTATCACTACTAATAATCATTATTAGTAATAATCAGTAACACCCAACTATATAAAACAAATAAAGATTAAAAAAACCCTCACGTGTGGTGACACCTAGCCTATACCTATATTTGGTAAAAGTACCATTACTGAAAGCTTTCTAATTTCTGATAACACTTGTGAAACTCCCATGATCTTACAAATGTGTTCCAAATGGTATACAGAGGGTGCATGCAAGCATTCAAATCAACTAGTGGAAGTTTAGCAGTTTAGTTTAAGCAGTTGGAAACTTTACTGGTAGAACACTGTACAAGCATTCAGAAGACTGGATGCATGCTCAAGGGACACCAGAGCATACATCCCAGCATGTTTTGCAGACTTTCCAGTCTATCTGGAGACAGCTGACAGCAGCCAAGGGCACAGGTCAGATCTGACTAGCTAGTCACCTCTGGGACCATGTCCCTCCCTCTTCACAACACCCACTTCTCTCCCTCTCAGCTGTTATACTTTCAGGTAGGAAAGGTTGCCAGTTTCTGCTTTGGCAGCCTGCAGTGGATCCCAGCCCCTCTGGTATCAGCCAGTGAACCTAGTTCCAGTGCATAGTTTCATAGTAGCTAGGGTCAGGAGGGACCTGAACAGATCATCTAGCCTGACCCCCTGCCACAGGCAGGAATGAATGCTGGGTTCACAAGACCCCAAACAGGTGATCATGCAACCTCCTCTTGAATTTGCCCAAGGTAGGGGTGAGGACCACTTCCCTGGGAAGTTGGTTCCAGATATTGGCCACCCTACCTGTAAAATATTGCCTTCTGATCTCTAACCTAAACCTATTCTCCATCAGCTTATTACCATTGTTCTTCATCACCCCAGGTGGTGCTGGGGAGAAAAGGGCTCTACTTATTTGCTGTTGATCTCCCCTGATGAGTGCAGGTTAGGTGAGTCTGGTTGGAATCAGGCGCTGGCAGGTTGGGGGCTGGAGGCTCCATTCCTGGAAAGGAGTAGGTCAGACTAGTTGGCAAGGAAAGGGATGTTCAGTGGTAGGGCTCTGCCCACAGAGACACTGGGGCTACCCACACCCTGAGTCATAACCCCAGTCGGATTGCAAACACAGGGCTCTAGATGGGCCTTGAAGGGGAGACCCCCCTCAGCACTTTAAAGGAAATGCCTGCAGTCCTACATGTGGGCACAAGGCTCTGCAGGTGCCCCTCAGGGGAGTCTGGTGTGTGGTTTTCTCCCCTGCTTCTGCTAACTACTGAACTCTGACCCAGACTGTTTTTGGGACTGAACAAGCAGGGTTTGGAAGCCAGGAAACTGATTCAAGGGGAAATCCAAAGCCAGAGTCCAGGGACAGAGCCAAACTATGGTCAGGAACCAAAAAATCAGAGTACAGGAACCAGGAGGCTCACCTAAGCAGAGCTGAGTCAGTACTGTTGCCTAACCTAGAGAACGGGGTCACAGGTGGGACTAGATGCATAGCTGTACTCTCAGCAGCCAACCAGAAAGCCATCGAGAGAATTAGCTAGAACTGTGAGTCAAAACTACAGGCAGATGTGGTCACCTAGGCCATTAGCCCAGGCTGGCCTGACTGATTCAATTTCCTGTAGAGCTAGATGCCCTTTCCCTGTTTAATTTTTTACAATATCCTTGCCTACCATAAGTATCTGAGTGTCTAAACTTCTCCTCACCCCCACAATGCAGACAAAGCCCAGCCTCCCCAATATAAGACAATGATCCCACTAGTGTATCCTAGTGCAGTGTTTCTCAACCCATGATACGTGTACCCTGGGGGGTACAGGCAGGGCAGGGGGTACGCGGGTGCCACGTTTGGCCCACCCCCCTGTCTGGTGGGTTGGAGGCATCTTTTCTTGTTCAGGCTGGAAGTTCTGGCCACCAACCCACCTGCCGCATCCCGTGTGCTGGGGCTTTCACTCCCTGGCGTCGGTGTGCCAGGGGACAGGGAGGAGGGCACCGAGCAGGCTGCTTTGCCTCAGGCCATAGTCCGCAAGGAAAAAGTGGGACTCGGCTCACAGCAGCAAAACTGGAACTGGCATGGTGGGACTTTTGGTTTTGCTTTTGCTGCGTCGATCAGCAGGTGGTACATAAGGTACCAAAGGTCGACAACCACTGTCCTAGTGGATACAGAGCTTTTCAGCCATCCCAGTTCCAGGGATTCAGTTAAGGCCATTGAACCAAGAATACATAAGACCTCATGGCAGCTGGGGTTCAGGATGATACGATTCTTCAGAAATGCTCAACCATCTTATTCTAATCAAGTAATTTTACACGTAATACTGCCTAAGGACTCTTTTCTTGATTTTCTGTACTTCCTGCAAGAGCTCTGTAGGTGTAACTTTTGTTGCCCTTCATCAAGCCTGGTTACCTGGTTTCTCAGGGGGCATTCTACCTCTTTGAATAGCACCCTTGAAATTGACAGGTTCTAATCAAGCCAGAAGCCTTTGACTTGATGGC